GCTCAAGCAATCATCCTGCCATAGCCTTCTGAGTAAGCTGGGACTATAGTTACATACCACCACACCTGGCTTTTATTTATTTTTTATTTTATTTCATTTTATTTTTTGAGATGGAGTTTCACTCTCATCACCCAGGCTGGAGTACAATTGTGCGATCTTGGCTCACTGCAACCTCCGCCTCCCTGGTCCTGGTTCAAGTACTTCTCCTAACTCAGCCTCCCAAGTAGCTGAAATTACAGGCATGAGCCACCATAATCACCTAAATTTTTGTAATTTTTAGTAGAGATGGGGTTTCACCATGTTGGCCAGGCTGGTCTTGAACTCCTGACCTCGTGATCCACCCACCTCAGCCTTCCAAAGTGCTGGGATTACAGGCGTGAGCCACCACCACGAATGGCCACCCGGCTTTTAATGAGTGTTTCTTTCAATAATATCTGATTACTACCCCAAAAGAGATCAGTTTTAGATACATCACAGACAGACAAACAGATCTTGCTATCAGACCACTAGGAAGCAAAGTCTATAGCTGTGTGCATTAAAAAATCCTGGTCAGGCCAGGCACAGAGGCTCACACCTATAATCCCAAGCCAAGGTGGGTAAATCACCCGAGGTGAGAAGTTCGAGACTAGCCTGGACAACATGGTGAACTTCCGTCTCTACTAAAAATACAAAAATTAGCTGGACATGGTGGCGGGCGCCTGTAATCCTAGCTACTCGGGAGGCTGAAACAGGAGAACCGCTTGAACCTGGGAGACAGAGGTTGTAGTAAGCCAAGATCACACCATTGCACTCCAGCCTGGGCGATGAAAGTGAAACTCCACCTCAAAAAAAGAAAAAATCCTGGTCAGTTCTAGAATTCACTGGGGGAAAAAATAATCACTACTGTCACATGTATAAGTATAGATGGCACAGGGTCTACAAATTCCTCCAGAAGATAATGAGATACCAACTACCACAGGGTCCTGTCATAGAGCTTAACCAGGAAAGAAAAATTTTTGAAAGAATAGTAGAGGAATTTTACCAATACGTCCCCCAGATTTAAGCTACAACATTTGCCAGAAATCCTGCTTCACAATCATATTATTGCAAAGATATAACTATTGACCTCCTATCCTTTAAAGGGTTATACATTATATTGTACATAGTTTAAATCATATGAAATACTAATGCATCTGCTCATACTACTAAACAAAGGATGATGTGCTAAAAATGTACAAATGAATCTATTACAGACCCAAGCATGAGATGAGATGTTATAAACAGCAGTTATATTAGATACTATGATATCCGAATTTGGATCAAGTAAGCACTGAGGAGAATTACATTTTTAAAAAGTCCTTGCAGTAGCAGAAAGAAATGACTTTGGAGAAAAAGAAAATGATTTTCGAAGAGACAGCATGATGCAGCTTCTTTGACTAGAGGTTACAGGACTAGCTAGAAAGGAGCCCCTGCCCAAAGAAAAAGCAGAAGCAAGAAATCTACTACAATGCTTATAGAGCAGTCCCTTGTTACCCAAGGTATCTGAGGGACATATCAAAAGAAACACAGAAGCAGCCAGTACCTCATTTGAGGCAAAGGATGTCATCCTAACTTTTCCCTAGGTAGCTTTCGAGCATCTCTTCTCAGGCACAATGAATCAATAGTAGACACAACCTCCTGACCAAGAAGCTTTGATATCTCAGAAGAAAGTAGGTTCTCAAACAGTAGAAGCCAAAGAATGAAATATACATACCTACTCCTAGTTAAAGGTAAGCACTTTCAAAATGGTTTGTTTTCCACCATAGTAAATATAAATACATAAAAAGAAGGTTGGGATCATATATCACACAGCAATAAATCAATACACGGAAGTGATTTTGTATGAGATTCCTCTTAATTTCTTCCTACCACATTGGAAGAAATTCTAGAAATGAAAAGTTATCTCAAAAATATAAAACACCTTGCAGTTCATACACTTAAAATCACAAAGCTTCTAAACAAGAAAATACAAAAAAATTCTCTTTTCTAATAGGAAATAAGCTATGTAGAGGTTTCATTTATTATTCAAAATTAAAGAGATTTTTCCATGTCTTTTCCGTTAGAGCATAAACCAATTCAGAAGGTAAGATTGCTCCTTTCATCTTTGAAAATTTACAGTGAGGTTATTAACCATTCCCTGATTTTTCAAAATTAACTTAAAACTGAAATTAATGGTTCTCCTAAACCACAACCACATCGTGTTTACTGTATCTATACATAACCAGGTTTTTGTGACTAGAAAATGTTTTAATCAAGCTATTTTTTTCTATTACTAGGAAGCATTATTAACCTAGAAACGAATTCCTAAAATAAATAGATAATTCCATCTATTGGTTCTCTCATCTATTAGAAACTTTTTTCCTCATTCTAATTATCCTTTAATGTACTACCATGGTGGTGATTTACAAACTGATACTCTTATATGGAACTTTCACTCTCTATCAAAAGTACTTCTTTATTTAAAGCCAGAAGTAGAAACATTAAACTGATATTTTAAAAAATTGAACTAAAAAATCAGCAGGAAAAATCTATTTTTTTGTATTTTTGAATTACAGAACATATAAAATATATTATAAATAAATCAAATAGAAATGTTTAGACACATATTTATATGTGTACATGGTAAAAGCTTAGGGTTATTATCTGAGCTATTTATCCTAATTATATTGGGCTGACACAGAATTATGATTGTGGCGCCCTCTGCTGGGTTTTCTAGTCACAAACTCAATATCACTATTGGCATAATAAAATCAAATTTTTGAGGCAGCAAGTGAAAAATCTTTTTCAGTTCATGGTCACTTTACGTCCAAGATTATATAAAAGTTATAATCAATATTTACTTTATTGGAACAGGACTTTACCAATTTATCATTAAGTGAAACATCAATATAGATTTTTCTTTTAAAATAAAGACCAAACATAAAATATAAACCAAACAACATATTTTAATAGGTCTTATTTTTGTCACCATTTCTATCACATAGCAATATATTCAGGTTTTTAAGACCATACTTATGATTAGACATTACAGCTATTTTGCTAATTTTACTACCTTGTAAGTTCAATTAAAATAGTATATTTTAAGACAGAATAATCCTAATAATATTATCTTCTTTATCAGAAAAAATAAACAAGAGAACTTTTATAGGTACTCATCATTAGTAATAATTAATAGATAGCTTCCATTTATTGAATATCAACGCTGAGTCATGCAGTATGTTACATACTTTCTATATAATATAGCCAGTCCTAAGAGAGGAAAACAATTGAGGTTCATAGAGGTGATACAAATTGCTCAAGATCAATTTCAGAGCCAGGAGTCAAATGCAAGTGGGTATCATCCCAAAGTCCTAAACCTTTCTACCAAACAACAGAAGACAGTGAAAAAACAGCCTGAATATGCGATCTTTCCACTTGTTAATGCACAACAATGTGGGGTATGGAACAACTTGATTAAAAAATATATTTATCAGAGAAGAACAAGACAGTTATTCATGCCTAAAAATAATAATAGATGCCTTTAGGAAATTATTTTTATTTTACATAATGCTGACAGCTAGTGGCCCTATTTCATACTGAGTCAACGGGGAATAATACTTGACTGTTACAATACTGAATCAAAAATTCTGCATTTAACATTCTAGAATCATTTTCTGAAATTACATATGTGTAAGCCTGACTTAATGATATTTAACATTATCCCAGAACTAAAGGAGTATGTAACCTCAAGCATCATTGGTATTCCTTGCCCAGTCCTTCCCCAGATCTAATAAAAACACAAGATATGCCTTCATGGGAAAGAATTCAACGCCAACATGGAGAAACTAAAAGGCATTCTGGTTCAAGCTGGTGTTTGGAAATTTTTAAAAAAAAGAAGGAAAGAAACTAAAAGGCACATCTGTCACTATCTATGAAAAAGAAACCTACATTATTTTAGGCATTTAGGATAATTTAAGGACATTTAAAGATTCCTTAGTGATAAAATACACAAATATTTTTCTATAAAATCAAAAGCTTATAATGTGGACATAAGAACAAAAGTGTTGTCTGAGTATTACTGAACATAATTCTATGCAAATCTATGCATTTGATAAAGCTGCATTGTTAAGCAAAAGATATTACCTAAATTCAGATAATAGTTAGCTGTTCTGAAATTTTCTTTGAGAAAAAAAGTATGAGTACTATTTTTACATTTAAAATGGTCATATTTCACTAACAGCTCACTATCTTAAGAAAGAGGAATGTTCTATACAAAAAACATAAAAAGTGCACAGCTCCTACGATGGTATGCTGTTTAACTCAGTGACATAAAGGTATTCTTGGCTGATTTCTTTCATCACATGAAATTAATTACAAGATTTATAAGAAATATTGAAGTGATTTTCTCAGTGGACAAATCTATCACCACTTAATCAGAGGCTTAGATTGAAAAGGCAACATATTCTATAATATTGTAATACTGCATCAAACAAAAACACTAGTGTTAATGTATATTAGCATCAAGAAAAATATGTTCTGGGTTTATCCTATAGTGAAAGTAAAGAAGCAGGGAATGGTTAGGAAAAAAAAAAAAAGCACCGGAAACAAAGCAAAGAAAGAGGAAAGAAATAGCCCCACTATTGAAGTAACTGAGGTCAAAATGGAAACAAAAATACAAGGGACAGTACTGCAGTGTCCAGTGTTCTTTCTGACCTACATTCTCTCTCTTTCTTTCTCTCTCTCTCCCTCTCTCTCTCTCTCTCTCACACACACACACACACACACACACACACAAACACACAACCCTCCAAAGTGTAAAAACTGTGGTATTGCATTTAGTAGGTGCACCTTATAAAAGGCTTATTCTGCAGCTAACAATGGTGTTTCTCATATATATATATGCATACATTTAGTGTATAATAAATATTAGTGAGAAGAAAACAACTATAAATTCACTTTGTAAAACACTAAATATATTTCTATAGAGTGAATGTATAACTTACAAACATTTCCTGTGTTGTCAAAGCTGGTAAGAACATCTTCAACATTCAAGGATCCACTATTATGCCTAGAAAGGAGTAAAGCATTTGCTTTAATGATTCTGAAATGTTAACATTTTTAGTTTTTAAAAAAGCTGAAACTGAGACTGTATATTATGATACACATTTCCAATAGCAATAAATTCTTCCATGCTATATTTTAAGAACATTTTCTGCCCACTAGAGGGAGAAGGAAAAGATATAACAGTATGGTCCTCAGAATATTTAACATAATGACTTTTTAAATAATTAATCTACATCTTAAAAACAAATAATATTTACTTGTTGTATTTTCATTATATAAAGGGAAGTTCTTAACCTTTCTAAAGCCAAAAAACTCGTAGAGTACATTTAAAGAATCTTCAAGTTGAAAAATAATCACCTCCTAGAACCACACTCAATAATACATAAATTTACTCTATAATGGCAAAAAAAAAAAAAAAATCAGAACTTCAGTTACAAAGAACGAGCCAACCTTCAGGTCTGCATATTCCATGTCCAGGCAGTCATGAATGTCAGTGAGCAAAGTTTTTGTATCTTCTATCCACTAATCTTAATTCTAACCCCTTTAATTCTAATCCTTCTTCACTTAACAACTCTTTTAAATATTTGACTTGACACTGATATTTTATTAATACCTATGAAAAATATTATTTGTTATATATAAATAGACCCAATTGTGCAATTGTCATAGAGTTTGAGTTTCTTGGGGGGGAAAAAAAATTAGTGCTAATCTATCTACAATCCTCTACATTCTCTCCCATATAACTTACAGCTGAAGCTCTTCAGAATGTTATAAAAGTTTATAATAATCATTAATAATTTCTAAAAGTTTACTTCATCAACATTCACTTTGTCATTTAAAACTTGTCATAAATGATATGTTATGGACTGAAGTGTACCTCCCACTTCCCCCAAATTCTTACGCTGAAGCCCTAACACTCTACCTCAAAGGTGACTATATTTAGAGATAGGGCTTTTAAAGGTAATTTAGTTAAAATAAGGTCATTCAGCTGGGCCTTAATGTAATGTGACTGGTTTCCTTATAAGAAGAGGAGGTATTGAGAATCTCACTCCCATCCCCCACAGCAGCCACAGCAAGACCCATCCAAGAAGAGTCTGAGCTCAGACACAACTAGCCCTGCCCCCACCTGATGGTCCTACCCACCCTGGTAGCTGAAGACAAAGGACATATACTCTTGGGAGATCTAGGGCCCCACTCACCACCAGTCTCTCTCCATATTACTACAGTTGATGCTCTCTGGAAAGCACCACCTCCCAGCAGGAGGCCAATGGGCACAAAAAAAGAGCATTAAACCACCGAAGCTAAGAACCCTCATGGAGTCCATTGCACCCCCCTGCCCCACCACCCCACCAGAACAGGCTATGGTATCCACAGCTGAGAGACCCATAGATGGTTCACATCACTGGACTCTGTGCAGACAACCCCCAGTAGCCAGGAGCCAGGCAGACTCATTGGGTGGCTAGACCCAGAGGAGAGACGACAATCACGGCAGTTCCACTCCTAGGAAACCACATCCATAGGAAAAGCGGGAGAGTACTACATCAAGAGAACACCCAGTGGGACAAAAGAATCTGAACAACAGACTTCAGCCCTAGACCTTCCCTCTGACAGAGCCTATCCAAAGGAGAAGGAACCAGAAAACCAACTCTGGTAATACGACTGAACAAGGCTCTTTAACACCACCTAAAAATCACACTAGTTCACCAGTAATGAAACCAAACCAAGAAGTCCCTGATTTGCCTGAAAAAGAATTCAGGAGGTTAGTTATTAAGCTAATGAGGAAGGCACCAGGGAAAGGCAAAGCCCAATTGCAAAGAAATTAAAAAAAAAAAAAAAATACAAGAAGTGAAGGGAGAAATATTCAAGGAAATAGATAGTTTAAAGAAAAAACAATCAAAACGTCAGGAAACGTAGCACACACTTTTAGAAATGTGAAATGCTCTGGAAAGTCTCAGCAATAGAACTGAACAAGTATAAGAAAGAAATTCCAAGCTCAAAAACACGATCTTCAAATTAAACCAATCCAACAAAGACAAAGAGAAAAAGAAGAAGAAAATATGAACAAAGCCTCCAAGAAGTCTGAGATTATGTTAAACGACCAAACTGAAGACTAATCAGTGTTCCTGAGGAAGAAGATAATTATAAAAGCATAGAAAACATATTTGGGGGAATAATCAAGGAAAAGTTCCCTGGCCTTGCTGTAGACATCCAAATACAAGAGGGTCAAAGAACATCTGAGTAATTCATTGCAAAAGGATCATCACCTAGGCACACTGTCATTAGATTATCCAAAGTTAAGATGAGGAAAGAGTCTTAAGAGCTGTGAGGCAAAAGCACCAGGTAACCTAAAAAGAAAAAACCTGTCAGGGAAGTCGTGGCCATGGCAGATTGAGGAGGCATGGCCTTAGGCTCTGGTGTCTCCCAGTCTGCTACGCCCTGAGGCCTCAGCAGGGACATCCTGCATCGTCTCGGGGCAAGATCGAGAATGGGGGCGTGGCTTCTTCCTCCGATAGTAACCGTGACCGGAGGGAGCACCTCCAGCAGCTGGCCCTGGTGACCATGGACATCAACAAGGACCCGTACTTGATGAAAAACCACCTGGGCTCCTACTAATGCAAGCTCTGCCTGATGCTTCCCAACAGCGAGGGGAACTACCTGGCACATACTCAGGGGAAGAAGTACTACACCAACCGGCCGGCAAGCAGCCAAGGCGGCCAAGGAGGCCCCCGCCCAGCCTGCGGCTGAGAAGGTCAAGGTGGAGGTGGAGAAGTTTGTGAACATCGGCCACCCAGGCGACAAAGTGACCAAGTAGAGGGACTTGCAGATGGGCCAGCAGAGCCTCCTCTTCCAGGTCGATCACCCTGAGATCGCCGAGGGCATCAGGCCGTGCCACTACTTCGAGTCTGCTTATGAGTAGAAGATCGATCCCCCTACTTGCGCTGGCAGTACCTGCTGATGGCCCCTGAGTCCTATGAGACCATTGCCTTCAAGGCGCTCCAAGGTGCGGAGGAGAGAGATTGACAAGGCGGAGGGCAAGTTCTGGACGCACTGGAACCGAGATACCAAGCAATTTTTCCTCCAGTTCCACTTTAAGATGGAGAAACCCCAGGCTCAACCTAGCCTCCCCATCCGCCCGCCTGGGGTGAGGCGGCCTTCACCCCCACTGACAAACGGTCTGCCCCCTCAGCCACCGCCGCCTGAGCCTTTGCCACCACCCCTGCCAGGAGGCCTGCCTCTGCCACCCATGGCCCCCACCGGGCCTGCACCCTCTGGGCCACTGGGACCACCCCAGCTGCCCCCGCCAGCTCCAGGGGTCCAGCCCCTGGCCCCAGTGGTGCATCCCCCCGCATCTGGGGGTCCATCCCCCTGCATCTGGGATCCATCCCCCAGCTCCTGGGGTTCACCCTCCAGCTCCTGGCATCCATTCCCCAGCCCCTATGGTCCACCCACCAACCTCTGGGGTCCACCCCCCAGCTCCCGGGGTCCACCCTCAAGCCCCTGGGGTTCACCCACCAGCCCCTAGAGTCCACCCACCAAGCCATGGGGTTCCCCCACCAGCCCCAGTGGTCCACCCTCCCCCATCAGTGGGGGTTCACCCCCAGACCCCAGGGGTACACCCAGCAGCCCCAGGGATGCACCCTCAGGCACCAGGAGTCCACCCCCAATCTCCCAGGGTCCATCCATCAGCTCCTGGGGTCCACACTCAGCCTCCTGGAGTTCGCCTTTCAAATCCTGGGGTACACCCCCTAACTCCCATGCCCCCAATGCTGAGGCCCCCACTCCCCTCTGGAGGCCAAGGGAACATACCTCCCCCTCCCCCAACCGAGAAGCTGCTGGCTTCCCAGCAAGCCCGTCCCAGGTGCTCCTGCCTTTCCCACAGAGAAAAGTCTGCTCTTTTGTACTGTCCCCATTCATTAAACAGCCTCTCCCAGCCAAAAAAAAATAAAAAATAAAAAGAAAGAAAGAAAGAAAAACCTATCAGATCAACAGCAGATTTCTCAGCAGAAACCCTACAAACCAGAGGGATTGGGGCCCTATCTTCGGCCTCCTCAAACAAAACAATTATCAGCCAAGAATTTTGTATCCAGTGAAACTAGGCATCCTATATGTAGACATCATATATGAAGGAAATTACAGTATTTTTCAGACAAATGAATGCTGAGAGAACTCGCCATTACCAAGTCACCCACCACTACAAAAACTGCTAAAAAGACGTCTAAATCTTGAAACAAATCCCAGGAACATATCAAAATAGAACTTCCTTAAAGCATAAATCACACAGGACCTATAAAACAAAAATACAAGCTAAAAAGCAAAAATAAAAAACAACAAAGTACTCAGGCAACAAAGAGCGTAATGAATGCAAGGGTACCTCACTTTTCAATACTAACACTGAATGTAAATGGCCTAATTGTACCACTTAAAAGACACAGAACCACAGAATGGTTAAGAATGGATAAGAACTGACTATGCTGCCTTCAGGAGACTCACCTAACACATAAAGACTCACATAAACTTAAAGGGGTGATAAAAGGCATTTCATACAAATGGACACCAAAGCCTAGCAGGGGTAGCTATTCTTATCAGACAAAACAAATCTTAAAGCAACAGCAGTTAAAAGAGACAAAGAGGAACATTATATAATGGATCACGAGGTCAAGAGATCGAGACCATCCTGGTCAACATGGTGAAACCCCGTCTCTACTAAAAATACAAAAACATTAGCTGGGCATGGTGGCGCATGCCTGTAATCCCAGCTACTCAGGAGGCTGAGGCAGGAGAATTGCCTGAACCCAGGAGGCGGAGGTTGCGGTGAGCCGAGATCGCGCCATTGCACTCCAGCCTGGGTAACAGGATGAAAACTCACTCCGAAAAAAAAAAAAAAAAAAAAAGGCCTTGTCCAACAGGAAAATATCACAATCCTAAACATACATGCACCTAACACTGGAGGTCCCAAATTTATAAAACAATTACTAATACCTAAGAAATGAGATAGACAGCAAC